TAACATAACCTGACAGCAAATTGACGGCAAAAACCGAGCAAAGCTTGACATGATATGACGTCAAATTGGTGGCAAAAATCGAGCAAGATCTGCGCAAGACAATCTGACAGCAGATTGTCAGCAAAAAACAAATTCTGCAGCTTTTGGCCATTCATATAAAATAGTATATTTAAATGGATTTAAAGTCTCAACCATAAGTAACAAAATGATGATAAGTTTTAGTCATAAAATGACCATTAGATAATTAGACATCCTAAGTTAGGTCTCATAAGACCCAAAATATATCACATCAACGGGAGACCATTTTCTGACGTTCTTTTGATGGCAAAAATAAGACAAATTACAGTATTGTTATATAAAATCATATATTAATGTGTTAAAACATATAGATAAATTTAAATAATTTAATTTATAAAATTAAAGATCTTTTTGGACAGAAATTGTTCGAATAAGTGAAAATCGAACAATTATCTGTCCGATTTGCCAAAAATCAGTTCAATATCTGAATTTCTTGTATAAGAATTGTGTCAAAAATTGAACTGATAGAAATATATATATTATAATATTATTAGCGTTTTGCAGGCTTTATATACACTCATGACAAGAATTTGAATACGGGTATAGATAATGAATAACGCGCCGCATAGCGATAAGCGACTGAACTATTTTATAATACTTTGTAATAAACTGCAGATTCTGTTCGGTTTTTGCTGCCAATTTGCCATCAGATTGAGCACTTCAGATCTTGCTCAGTTTTTGCCGACAATCTCATGTCAGTCATGTCAGCAAGCTTTGCTCGGTTTCTGCCGCCAATTTGTTGTCTAGTTATGTTAGCAAGCTTTGCTTGGTTCTTGCCGGCAATCTGCCAGCTTAATCGGTAATAACAACTCTTGTACCAAATTTGTAGCCTTTTTGCTGACAATAATTTGTAGCAAGCACTTGGCAATATCTGTTAGAACAGATGTGGCTGACTGGGTATATATATATATAAATTAAATATCTAAAAACCACATTTCTAGATAACTAATAAATTTTTTTCTTAAAAAAATGTTATTTCTACACATTACACAAATATACCACGAAATCGGATTGAATTCTAATTTAGATTATTATACCAATTAGTATTTAGTTTTTTCTTCATGTAGATGCATTTTTAACGAAACGTTATTTCCATTTACATGAATATTTTATATTTTTTCAATATTTATATACAATATTTATGCAATTCTGTTTATGTTATTCCGATAAATATTCATATCCTGTTGGAACTTCTTTGTGCTGAGAATACCTGTCGCGTTTATGCTGCGTCAGATGTCTCCAGTTTTCTAACTGTATATGTAATTTTGGTTGATCTATGGCCTATGGTAATAACGTTATTTTGTAGCTAAGGTATAGTATTTTCAATTTCCTGTTCTTGTATAATTAAATTTATTCTTTAAAAATAATTGGAAATTGCTTATAATCATGAGAAATTTATTATAGACACGGTATCTCTCTCGCGAGAATAAGGTTATAAATATATATCCGGATATTTATATTTAAATTATTCGAAATAATTATCTCAATTACTCAAATCTGAATTTTCAAATTATCCAAGTAATTCGAATCTTGATATAGAAAATGCGAACCACGGTATGCCGAATTCTCTTACAATTGTATATAATTTTTATAGAGGATGTGCTTCTCTTTGATCGTCCAACCTTAAAAGCACATTCCATTTATGCCAATAATGAAAGAAAATCATATGAGAGCATATATCCGGAAACGCTTCCTTTTCTACATATTATTTTTTGTTTATGACAGAGTTTTTGTAATAACACTTCGTTAAATAAATTGCTGCTTCCGTTACAATATACATGGTTTGCATCAATGTCTCGTGGACTGTTCTCGTTTTTTTCGCTGATTCCAAACTAGTTCTCCATTGTGAAAAATATCGTAATTGTAAATAAAAACTCCATATTATTTGATAAACTCGTATTTCTTCATTAAAATCGATAATAAAAATATTCTATAAATAGGCCGTCTTGCGTAATTATCGGAAATCAGTTATCCTTCATATATTAAACATAATGCGTATAATGTATACAATATATATATACAGGGTGTATCTGAAATGATGCACTAAACTTTAGGAGCATTTTCTAGAGGTCAAAATAAGACTTTTTTTCCTATAACCATGGGTCCGCAAATGAACCCTCCTCCGAGTTAGAGGCCCCTAAAGTTTGGGGAAAAAATTAAAAATTGGCTGTATTTCAGAAAAAAAAATGGCAGAAGGTTGAAATTTGGTATAACCCAGTAAATTATGAAGTAAAGTAAGCCACTAAAATGAAAAAATAAAAACGTATTTCACACATTTTCGAATTTTAGCTCGAAGGGGGGTTCAATTGCGGACCCATGTTCATATTACACGCATGCCCTCGCGCAAAATAAGAATTGAATTCAAATAAAATAATATAAATTGAAATATATATTTATATATTTATACAAAGAAAATAATATGAAGTTGATTTTATTTTAATTGCATTTTTATTGTATATAATCTCTAATAAGTTTGATACACACTGCATGTTTTTATTTTCTATCTAATTTTTTTTATGATAGATAATTCGAATATGAATTAAAAATATTGCATATTTGGATATAAATATTCGAATTATTCTGATATTTGGACTTGAGTAATTGGTTAATTTGGGGAGCGAATCGGATATTTGAATGTGTCAGAAAATATATATTTACAATATATATTATATTTACAGTCCTACTCGAGAAAGCGGTGTCTTATTGCGGATGAGATTATCGAATCACATTATATCATAGATACCGTAATAAGAAGCCATCTCCGTGATATCGAGCGAATCTTTAACATTGATCTGGAAGCACATGTTCAGTTCTTCACGATTCTTTGCATTTTTCCACTCGGAGTAATCTTGCCGTCGTCGGCCGCCCGCTTGCCAATATCTATCACTATTACTCGAATCCATACTGATTTTGCGATATGGTTTCACTTTCGCGAATTGACGGCTCAGCGCTGACGCTGTCACCACCGACGATGAAACATTCCACTTCTCATCGATGAGCAGCATGTCCACGAATATATACCACGGGCCGGTAGCGTCCCCCTTAGCGTCTTTTAACGACGATTAATATTTATTACTTGACTTTGCATCGCGCGTTTTCTCTCTCCGGTCTTCTTTCAGTACGCGCATACTCTGATGAGCGAATTTTCGTCATTCCTGGGCAAAGAAGGAGCATCCTCCTCCTCTTCTTGTCTTTTCCCCCTCTTTTTTTCTGCAAAATGTAACTGTGGTCGCCAATTCGGTCGTCATTTCGCGATCTACAGTCGTGAATTGTTCTCTGAATTTATCGTCCCGAAAGTAGCAATTTAGCAACTAGATCTCTAACAATAAGAGAGAAAACGACTGTGAAAATCTTTTTCTTCGATTAAGTTTGAAAAATTATCCGTGAAACTAATTTGAATTGAATTATGAAATGCGATGTTCTTCGAAAAAGCTCGAGATAATTATGGTGGAAGAAGTAGGTCGTAGAATCAATTGTGAATTACTCGATGCTGTGCTCGTGTTTTTATATGTGATTTTTTTCTAATCTTTATTTTATGAGAAGCAAAAAATATATACACTTGCATAGATTCTATTAATATCTTTCTGTAATCAAAATGTCACTGTTTTCATACTATTTTCGATAGTTGCAAACAAATTAATATTGAAATCAAAATTGAAAATATTTAAAGGAGAAGGAGGAGGAAATAAGAATGTACAATATTTTTTTATTACAATTAAATATGCAACTTAAAAGTTGAAATATTCTATAATTGTGAGAAGAAATTTAATTAACTTTACCTGTTAGAAATTTTTATTTGTAAATATATATAATTTTTTAAATCTTTCATATCATCCCCAAACTCTCGTATTTATAAATAGATATCGATATCTTTAATAAAATAAACAAGCTGAAAATTGTGCATATTAGAAACTTGCACATTGCTTCCTCATCATTTTATTTTGCTCATAAAGCTTAAGCTTCTTAAAGCAAGCGGGTTTTTAAATTTTGGTTTCCTTATAGAGGAAGATATCTCAAAATTTGCGAAAGTTAGGACGTGGACAGACATTTTCCAAAAAATTCAAATTTTTATAAAAAATTAACCCTTTCACCGATCCTCACCAAATTCAATTCCAACCATTCTTTAATAGTACTCTATCGATATAAAAAAATTTAAGACTATAAGAATTTTGTTTATAAAAATTTTTATAGAACGTTTACACTTTTGAGCGATAGTGTACATCTGTATAAAAACATATTGTGAGGTTAGCATTGAATGCTGCTTGCTTATAATATTTGCACGTGACAAGCGTTATCACTCTATGATGCACGAATGTGTGACGTTGCAGTTATCAGGCCATCAATTTAATGACTGCAGTAATGCCGTGATGACCTTTTTCAACATACATAACTTTGCTACAATACAATAGCAGTGCATATTCGTCGCCTTTTGCTAGATAATTGCAAAATCAATGGATTAACGATTAATGAGACTTTTTTTTTCAACGTACTTATTAATATCTGAAAATGAATGTAATCAATTGTATATGTATATGTCGGACATAATTTTTTAATTATATATATATATATATATACATGTATATATTTTACAATATAATCATATTGTAAACCATCGACGATATGTGTGGCGATGGCATTTGGACGATCCACTAATTTTACAAATTTTATGTGGGTTTTAGTGGATTCTTTCTGATTATTAATTTTAATTTGAAATTTGATTGCAACAACTAATATTGTGCATGTCAGATTTTAAAATTTCATTTTAATTTTTACATATTTATATGCATGCTGAAGATGGACCAAAAAACGATCCAAAACGTACATTTTTAATGCACATTTGTTAATAAAATTTAATAATAATAAGTTCGTCACTAATGTCCGTCCCGTGCCTTGGCTCTTATTTGCCAGTATTTTTACTTAATTGTTCATACTCTGAGCCTATTGCTGTTATTATTCGAACTTGACTCCTCGAATTTTCTACTTTGAACAGTACGATTATACATACAAATTCATTCGAATTTCTCGTCCAAGCTCTAACTTTAGCAAGAAACTCGCATTATAAGACATCGTTCAATTGTGTATCCCTGGAGATACCCTAATGTAAGCTAAGGCCAGACAAAGGAATATCGTCGACAAGCGAATACCTTCGGAGACAACTCCCATGTCTGGCGGTGGCTTTCTAGAGCGCTTTACTTCGCAATGCTCACATAATAATATCTACAAAATCGCAGATATCGTGTCACACGAATCTCATGCGTGTGGCATGAGGACGTCTGAATTACGCACAATTACACACGCTATTTTTGTACTACTTTGTCGATAATTTTCTGGGAAACTATTACATTACTCGATTCCTGGATGTGATATTCTATGATATATGTTGTAATACGAAGCAGCTTATAAAAAGCGAAAACAATGAAAGCAGCGACTTTCCTTATATCAAAATCTACTAGTAAATTTAGTAATGTGTTCCAGTTCGTTTATTCGTACGCAATTTTTTTAATTGGCTCAATTAACGTATATAACGGAAAATTATTAATTAATTAAATTTTATCAAATTCTTTAATCTCATTTTTGCTGAAAAGTCAAATCTCTTTGAGAAATATTGCTATGTTATTATAACGAATACATATATATACATTTTTATAGTTTTTCATCCTAGCTTCTATACTGTAATCTTATCTTAGGAATGTTACATATATAAAAATATAAGCAGCTGTGTGCCCACACAGATTTACGATTTTTATGCTAATTTTTTCTTGAAAGGTTTAATATTCTTGAACTCCATACGAACAAATATCCAACGTAATACGAAAAAATTATTTTAACTTTATATATTTTTAATTGATGATTATTTATTTTCTAATTGTTTTTCGTAGGCAATTCGAAGCGAATAGACAAGCGCTGAAAGAAATAGCGATCGTGAAGCTGGCTTTCGATCTTCGAGAATCAAACATTTGCAACTGCAGTCAAAATCAATTTCTAGCAATATCCTGCTTTAGTTTCTCGAAAGTACCGCTCTGAACGACCGGCATGATTTTATTAATACCCGTGGACTATGCCAGAAAGTGAAGAAAAAGCCTCGAGAGAGACGGCGCAGCTCGAGGGCCAAAAATAATCGGACCGGAGATGAATCTCGTATCTGGCTTGTCCCAGTGGCAGACGCCATCTGATCGTCAGATCTCTTCCGCGGATATCCGTGCCTATTTTCTAAAAAGTGGAGAAGCATTATACGTTTGATCAGAAACCAATATCCATCGCGGAGGAAGGAAAAGAAGACCGGAAAGAGGGACGCGGTTTAGTTTTGTTCATGCCGACGACGACAGGTCGATGTCTCGTCTCTTATTTCGCGCTGATGTTCGCCGTATGTCTGGCCAAAGACGCGCACATGTGAGTTCCGCATAGCGGTCCAGCGTGTAAGAAATAACGCGTAATGTGTCAAAAAAAAAAAAAAATCATAAAGTGTGACGCTTGAAGGATCTAGAACCTGTCGCGTCGCAATTTTCTTGTGTATAGATTTAGCTTTGGTTAAATGAACAAACGTTCTTCCTAAAAAGAGTTAACGAGTCGCCTTCATTAGATTTCATAGATTTTAAATTAACTTTCGATAAATAGGCAACACATTTTACATATCGAGATGATGAGTAAGTTGCTTGCATTCTTGTTTATCTTTTTGTAACGTTATACGAGGTTTCGTGTTTATCTAACGTATGCGTTTCTTTATCAACTTCTTAATTGCTTTCTCCGCGAAAGAGGGAGACAAATTTGCATAAAGTAGAAAATATAAAGCTAATTTTAATCCGCTGATCATCATTTATCATTTTAATTTATATAAAAAAATTGGTAGGATTTATATAAAAATTTATCAGATTATATCGCATGTATATCCATGTGCTTATAGTTACTTGTAATTTTAAATACTTACTTTTAAATACTTATATACTTAATTACATACTTAATTACTTTTAAATACCAATTAATAATTTTTCTTTTCCAGTGTTGGCAGATGGGCGGACAAGCTGGGTACCGAATTATGGGAACTCGCAAACGAAGTTGCTCGACCCCAGGAATTATTGGAAGTGAGTATACGTGCATGTTTATTCGAGATGATAAATATCGAATGATGAAGATTCGAGGAATCTCGCAGTTATCACATGCGATATGATATATATCTTAGATTCTGCATCATTTTTGTACGACAACAAATTCGAGCCTTATTGTATATTTTTGCAAATTATTTTGAGCTATTTATAATATGCAGCATATATATGTAAAATTTTATTTTGATATTTAATCCAGAATTTATCATGTGTAGAGACGAGTAATATATATCATTTTCAGTAATTTTTTTATAGTATTTCTTTCTTGTCTCTTTTCTTTACACAATATCCAAATTTTTCAAATATTTTTTTGATAATCCGATAAAGTGTGAGAGAAAGAATTAAACAGGTGGTACTGATCACTCCCATAGAAATACAAGAGCATGAATACGCGAGTCGAGGACAAGTCCGGAGAAGAACTGGTCAGCATAATCAGCGAGAATGTAGGTAGGATGCTGCGCCGGAAGATGGACGCAGTCACCTGCATTCGAATAGCGGCCGAAGCAGCGGTGGAGGATTGGGACAAGTCTCTTGTGGATGGCAATTTCTCTTACGTTTCCGGCAAGTGCAGCCCTGTCAACGGTAACTGGACACAGGATGAGCAATGCAAGAGGAACGTGACCGTATACAGGTGAGTGCGATTTACTCGGTCATCGTTCATTTTTTCTTTTTTAGGTTTCCTCTGGTGGGAATTAGTCACGGTGTTACCGAGGCTAATGCTGTAATAGCTTTCGGCAGGAATTAAGAATGGATGATACAAATGGAATATTACGAATAATTTTGAAAGAAATTTGCTTTCATGAATGTTAAATTAAGATTAACAAATAGATGAAACTGATTCCAGAGAGATGGAACTAACGGCGGACTCGCATTTTTACAATATTCCGGTCAACACAAGCTACTCGTCGGTTCACATACCAACTAACGTATTCGATCTTACGCAAGATGTCAAGGAGGATATTGTGAGGACTGAGCTGTTGGACGATACGTTTCGTCAGAATTACGAATCCGATCCGGCATTATCATGGCAATACTTCGGTTCGATCACCGGTATGCTCAGACAATATCCCGCCATGCAATGGCGAACAGGTATCGAGGATTACGATAACGATGATGACGATGAGGACGAGAGACCTGCCGATCTCTACGATTGCAGGGTGCGCAGTTGGTTTATCGAAGCAGCTACGTGCAGCAAGGACATGGTGATCTTAATAGACATCAGCGGCAGCATGACCGGCATGGGGAGGACGATTGGTACGCGAGATCGAAAAGAATCAAAGTTGAAAAAATTTATAAATAAAAATTTTTTAATTTATAATTTGGGTGCGACAAAAAGATTAAAAAAATGCAATTTCTTCAATATGATAAATTAATATCTATTATTTTTTAATTATCTTATCGCGATTATTAATTTTATGATTGAGGGATTGTAATATTTCGATTACTTTATTTGTGTGACCGAAATGACAATGTTGCGACAGCGAAGGCAACCGTGAGCTCGATCCTGGATACACTGTCAAACAATGACTTCGTCACGTTGCTAAAGTACGCCAATGAGACCACCGAGCTGGTGCCGTGCTTCAAGGACATGCTAATCCAAGCCACTCCGGAGAATCTCGACACGTTCAAGAAATCCATGGAAGACCCTGATAATCTCAAGACGGACGGCGTTGCCAATCTCACGGAGGCCTTCACCAAGGTGTTCAGCCTGCTTAAGACTTATCGGAAGTCGCGTGGTTGCGACGTCGACACGCCATGCAATCAGCTCATCATGCTCGTCACAGACGGCATTGCTGGAAATCTAACGGAGGTGAGATGTTTTTTGATACATGAACTTTTATCGCTCGCCAACCTATTTTATGGAAACTTTGCATGTTGACAAAACTATTGATAAGCATCATCGATAAACATAAAACTAACGCTAACTTGTTCTTCCTTTCTAGAGAAATCTTCTTTTTACACAAAAAATTTTAAAACTATTTAGAAATAAATAACGCTATAGTAATGATATTTTTAAATAATAATTGCAATAATATGTTGAGATAATAAAAACGATTATTTTATTTTATTTTATTATTAATATAAACCTACGTGAAATATAAAATTATGAAAATATATTTTGTTTGCAACTGGTCGATATTTCAAAGATTACATTATTTTTTGTACTACGCAAAACTATGCGTGAAGTGAAATATGAGAGCGATATATATGAAAATTAAAGCAGGTAATTAACATAAATTACCTTTTCTATGATATCTCAATTTTACGCATATTTATTCGCACTATATTTACTTGTCACAATTATATATCCTTAAAGTAGTATGGAACATTAGAAACAAAATTGTGCTGGGTAAAGTTTGTTAAGTATAATTTTGAATAAATCTCTCTCTTCTTTCCTGTCTTTTTCAAATTAAAAAATAAATTATTCATATTGTCAATTACATAATTATAATTGAGCAATGTGCATTGAGTAACCACAATTTAATATTTAATGACTTGCTTATTATCATGTAATGCTTTAAAATAACATTTTTATATATCAGTATTGCATGTATTAGTGTATACTTTTATCTTAATTTCTTAAATTAATATTAATTAGTTAAAATTCTTTTCTCTTAATTTAAATATTTAATTTTACACACATACATATATGTAACTAATTATGTAAACGGTTGAGAGTTTGACATTTATCCTTTTTTTGCTATCATTTATCTATTTTACACCGTATATGCAAATACAAGCGACATTTGTATCATTTGACGGCTTTTTTTTACGTTAAAGAAGCTAACGCAAACTCGAGGTATTAAGTTTAGAATATATGAGAGACGTATAAAACTATGTCCATTCCCAAGCAGAAAAGAAAATCACAATAATATCAAAATGTCATCAGAATGACATCATAACGACTATCAAAAGTCATTATGATGTCATTTTTATGTCATTTGATATTATTGTGATTTGCCCTTCTGCTTGGGTTTGTTTTTATCGTTTATCTCGTAAAAAGAACTTTTCTTTGCTTTTTGAGCAAAGTTGAGCAACTTTCTTTACAGAATAGATACAATAGTATAATAGTATTTATGATATATTTAATTAGTTCAAAAAATTGTCGAGAAGATTATTTATATTCGCCGTTCTCCTTAATTGAAGAACTCTTCCATTTTTAATTTTTAATTAATTTTATAATAATTTATTATTAATCTTACTTTATATAATAGAAAAAAATTCGCGCTGTTTGACTATTGAAAATAAACTTACAATTTATGCGCGGCAAACTAAAACACTTTAAGATTCTTTCCAATAAATATTCATCAACGTGGTCATCGTTTCCTGTTTCTTTGTCGTAGATACTCCAGAAATTGAATCGGGAAGAAAACGGTACTCACATACCGGTGCGGGTGTTCCCGTTTCTCTTGGGGATGGAGGTGATTAGCGTGAGCGAGACTGAAAGAATAGCATGCTTGAATCGCGGTTCCTGCAAGCACGTGCACACGCAAGAGGAAGTGCGCGAGCAAGTGCTGAAGTACATCCCGGTTGTAGCGCGTCCTCTGGTATTTCAGGGCGTGGTGCATCCCATTGTGTGGACGCACGTTTACGCCGATATCACGGTAGGACTTTCTTTAGAATTTTAACTTTAGTTTAATTATTCTTTTACAATTCTGTGAATATATCGAGCGAAAATCGCGTTAATTCATTTCCTCAATTAATATTTATGTCTCTACTTATTATCATATTTTATCAAGCATGGTGAGTCTTGTTTAATTGGAAAATATTACCGCGATTATAGGACATTTGTGCAAAAGATATTATAATTCGTGGTAAGGAAATCCTATTACTTTTCGAGAAGACTAATCTTTGCGTGTAAATATTAATTATTCTTTAAATTTGTATAGGGGAAAGTAGGGTAAAACCGATTAGGCGAGTCAAACCGGGCACCTCTGTTTCTTCGTGATAAGTGCTACTATCTTTGGCTAACTCGTGTTATTAGTTGTAGATTGATGCCATCATTATTTTGAGATGAACCGTACCCACGTGCACACGATATTTCTTTTTTGAGAGAAGTTCAAAATTTTCGGGCCAAAAAAGACCGATATCGGGGCAACAATCGAGTCGTTATGGTCTTTTTCTACAGAGTATCTGCTTCGATAAATGCAGCATTGCATTCTGTACATATTAGAGAATATATTGCATTAGTTTTGATTGTCACTTTGTATGCCGGAATATACAACCGCCATGTTTGTTATTTCCTTCGTGTTAGGGCAAAACCGGGTACTTACACATCTGATGTAATGAAAATAGGAAAAACTGTTATCCTGACTTTGTCTCTCTACAAAAAGCAGTTGGAAACGAAAACTACCACTCAGAAAAAAACTACTAAAAAAAAAAGTTTTTGGAGATCCCTAAAGTTAAAAAATTAAATAAGAAAGTCTTGCAGCAATGTAGAACAAGAGGATATCTTTATTTGTGATTTTTGTCAATAGAATACATCTTTGTATTGTATTTTGATTAAAATAAATCTAGATTTCGTAATTGCACGGTGTTTTACATGTTTTTAAATGGGTACCCGGTTTTACCTTACCGGTAGGGCAAAACCCAGTATTTTGACTTCTCCAAAAAAATCTTGTTATCCTTGGTAATCAAATATTTTTTTTCAGCAACTAGCCTTATTTTCTCATAGTTTAAAATCCACTAAAAACTATTAACAGTCAGCAAAATTTTTTTTACTCTGATTTTTTGTAGAAAGACAAATCCAAAAATGTACCCGGTTTTACCCTACTTTTCTCTATATTTTTTTGTCGCCATGGGAACAAGATTTTTCTTTCGTTTCCCGAAATTGTGCACAATGTTTCGAAAATATTTTGTTAAAATGATAGCGGACATAGTGGGAGAATAAAATAAACATACGTAAATCTCATCAGAATCCGGCACTTGCCGCTTGGCTGTGGCGGGTGATGGAACACAAGGATCAAAAGTCGCGCCTGCAAAAACACTTGAAGGGAAAACAGCTGGGCGTGCGAATGAGCGAGGATGCAATCTACATAATGCAGGTTGAGATATCAAAAAGCACTCCACCCCTTCCACGCGCTGCCTTTACTTTCCAGGCTTTTCAGGCTCTGTTTAGATCTGTATCGCACTGTATCTCCCTTTGACGTGTTCCTATGTTTCAACCCTCAAATACCAAACGGAAATACAAGATTTACGCGACGTGACATTAATAAAAATTTATTATCTTAGAAAAAATTTTGTATTTAAAAAATATATCGAGAATGATTGGATTGAAAAAAATTCGTTTTATATTTATGAGTAATTTATCGATTTCGTGAACTCTGTTTGGTAGTTCGTGTAATATCAAGCAAGGTAATTGAAAATTGACAAAGAACATTGATTTTAATAGATAAATACAATTGATTTTTAATAATTTTATAACAAATTTTAATTGTGTGTACAATTTTAATTACATAATTATAATTCACAACTAAGCATCTCAATTACCTTGCTCCCCCCAGATTAATCAAAAGCTTAGCAACCCAAGGGATTGGCCAACGTAGTTCGCTGTCAACTCGGAGAAGTGGACAAACATCCGTTTACCTTGCTCCCCCCAGATTAATCAAAAGCTTAGCAACCCAAGGGATTGGCCAACGTAGTTCGCTGAGCTGTCAACTCGGAGAAGTGGACAAACATCCGCAAGCAATTAATCGCTAGGCATCGGAACATCACTAATTGACACATTGAATAGTTTTCGGCGATTGACTGCCATTACTTGAGAACTTAATACCCAAGCTAGGTTTAGTACCCTGTTGGCTGGGCTTCGTCGATTTTTTTTCTATTTCTAATTTGATTTTCTATTTATTCATTTTTTAGCGTTAGAGATCAGTGTGAGGTGTCGTATAAAGTGTCTGCGATTCGAACGGACAAACGAAGACCCGATTCTTAAAAAAAAAAGCACTATACGACACAATTATACCGATCTAAAAGTATTACGCGTGACAAGTGCAAGTTTATACATGCAGTTTAACAATGTAGTCGATTGTTGGGAGATTTCGATTGTGCTTTTCGGTTCCGAGATACCCTTTACATATCTGATCCATACTATAATGACCGAGGGCAAATTAAATTAGTGTGGCCCTTTGCTTTAGTCCCGCCCTAGCGACGTGTCCGCTCCCATTAATGGAAATTGTAAAAGCAATGCGAATTATGTCGTCGTCGGTTCTCCATTCTCTGTGATCGCTCTGCATAGCTTGGCAAGGACGAGAACATTGAGGAGGATCCGTCCATCCTGAACACGACTGCCTGGCAGGAATATAGACTGCTGACTTCTGTGGGCACACCCGTGTTCGATCATAGGAGCAGCCGCGACAATGAGACACGTATGACGGAGGACAAGTTGCTCGGCGTGGCCGGCACGGACGTGTCGATCGACGACATCCGCAAGCTCACATTGCCGTATAAGCTCGGTGTGAATGGCTACGCCTTCATCGTGTCCAATAACGGTTACGTGATACTGCATCCAGATCTACGGCCGGTCTACAAAGGCCAGCTCAAATTGAACTATAATAGTGTCGATCTTACGGAGGTCGAGATACTTGACGACGGACGCGAGCCAAGGTAACATAACGTGCAACATCGTCAACGTGCTACGGTTTTCTTCTTTTTTTTTCTTTTTTTTTTTAAAGAAATTGTAGAACACAATAAATTGTATATATATATTTTTTAATTTATTCTCTTTTTTTATTCGAAAAGTATTCATTTTTTCAAAACGAGCGCAGGAATCCAGGTCCTGATATACTGGAGCTGAGATCAGCGCTGGTCGATCATAAGCGTGGTAGCATGAAAGGGATCCCCGTGAAGTTACATTACGATGATAATCGTCGTGTTACCCTCGAGAGACGCGATTACTTTTACGCGCCCTTACCCGGCACGCCGTTCAGCCTCGCGGTTGCCTTACCAAATTACGGAACTACTTGGATCAAGGTTGGAAATAGTAATTCCGTCAATTCTTAAATAGCCTTGCGCGTAAATTATTGCATTAACTATTAAATAATTATGCATACACATTAATTAATTTTACATCAAATGACAAATAATTGTCGATGGTAATATTAAATACACGCTCGAGTAATCGCATGCTAAATTCTTTAAGGTCGGCGATGAGATCCGCCGGAATCAAAATATGAATATCAATGTGTCGGACTATTTTACGGGCGATCACTGGCGCGTGCATCCAAGCTGGGTATATTGTCGCTACCATTACCTGGAGAACCACCAATTTAATTCTCCGGAAGACGAGCTACGCCACTTCCTGGCGTTGATGAGTCGACCCGGTTGGCGCTGGTCCGAGCAATACGAAGCTTATCCGTCCGCGGACGAGGACGTCGATCAGGAGCCCAATTGCGGCAGGCAGACGCTCAAGTACGATGATTACTATTGCAACAAAGAACTCATGCAGTTGCTTGTATTCGATGCCAAGGCGACGAACGACAGCTTTCGTTACGATTACATGGAGAACTTGCCGCCCAGTGCACAGAATCTAACGCAGTTTTACGGCATCTTTATAAGATTCATTGCGACGCAAAGCGGTCTGACCAGGTGGCATCATCTCAATGTCAGTAACCTGGCGGATGCGGATGACGGCATTGTCTTCGGCGATCTTCACAGGCGAGCGGTGAACGAACCCTGGTACAAGGGCGCGATCTTTCAAAGCGAGTTGGATCCGAACAGTATTTCTTTATCCGGTAAGAATTACATTCGCTAAAAGATGAGATAAACTCTTTTATAATTAATTTGCACCTATCAAAGTTCAAAAATTGTCAGAGGCGTCTTTATTTTTTGATTATATAGTGTGTTTCATTTACTATATACAGAGTTGTTTATTAGTGTATATATTACATAAAATAAAATTTTGTCACAGTACCCCGAGAAGTGAACGCGGATGCGGTGGTGACGGCATCGATGAGCCTTTCGCCTAAGGATGGTGGCAAGAAAGCGCCAGCGGCTGTAGTGGGCTTTCAGATGCCGATAACGGGTCTGTACAACCGATTCATCGAGCTTACTTCGGTGACGACGAACCCCGACATGAATTGCATTAATGATTGGATCGATTGCTATCTGTTGGACCAGAACGGTTACGTGGTTATTTCGCAGGAGTACAACATCACCGGACAATTTATGGGCACCGAGGAGGGCGCCATTATGAATTCCATGGTCGGCCAGGGCCTTTATAACTCGTACGACATCTATGACTATCAAGCTTGGTGCCATGTGGTTGTAAGTATTCGTACGAAAGAATTTATTTGGTGAGTTAAGAGGGAAGCCTTGTGGAACTGGTTAAAAATAAGATGATTTTTGGGATTTAAAAAAAAACAATTTAATGGATTTTGTTAAAACTTTCAGGGTATTTTAATTAATATTTAAAAAAGTAGAAAATTATTTTTTTTTGTCGTAAAATAATGGTAGTGTTAGAAATTATAAAAATATTTCGCCGCGGCCTCGGCGTCGGGATCGTCCATCGGCGTGCAGGATAGCGCCTGTTGTACTCGCCTGAAACAAAATTTGGAAAGATTTTATTTTTTTTAATAAGATTACACTATGGATGAACCACATTATACAAAAAAAGTGCAAAATTAAGAGAATGGCAGGACTTTGAAAAAAAAGTTGCGATTAAAACAAAAATTTTTGTTTTAATTATGCAAAAAAATAATTACATTTAACAATATCACTAAAAGTACTGGTTCATCCAAAGGGGAATGTATTTATCTACATGCTTGCACAGGAACAAGTCGATTGATTGAATATTTTTTGAGTTATGCTGCACGCCGATTTGAAAAAAGTCGTTTCGAGATAAACGTTTAAAGTTTTGGGTATTGAAAAGTAACAATTTTTGGAAACTTACAGCTGTTTTGCGCTAGTCTGCTATTCCAGGCCCATACAGTAAACCTTCTGCTTCCCCATAAAAATTTTGCAGCTCAATTTGTTGCTCTCTCCGAGCCGTTCGAGCCTCCTTTGTGCTGCTTAGGCTGCGGCGCTCCTGTCTCTTCAACCGTTCCGCGTCGCGAGTATCAGTGAAAAATTTACATTGCTGTCCAATAGAGATTTCTAGCGTTTCCATAATTTTTAATATGGCATAACAGCCTTCATTGAAAACACCAGCATCTATAAAAGCGGCGATCTCAATAATCTTTATGCCGAAATTCAAGTGTTTCGGAGCTGAGTCCCCATTCTCTTTTCCACGTGACCAATACACTCATTTTTCACTACTTGAAAATATATTTACACAAACATACACAAATTACACAGACATTCTGACATAAATACCGGCTCATGTTCAGAGCCTATTCATACAACGGACTAAACGAAGGAACGCGCCGCGCGCTTTCCGGTACACCTGCGTGACACGTAGCTGTAAAATCAGTAGCCTCGTTAATATTTCGAATTTCGATCTGTAACTTCAGGGACATATTTTTCAGATGTACTACTATTGATTTATATCGATTTATATCGAAAAAACGATTTTTTAAATCTTTTACACCAGGCTCTCCCCTTAAATTTAATTAAAGTCTATGATTGATTTTTTAACATTCATAAAAATTTGCGTGACAAAAAAGAAATAATTCCTACTTTAATTCTCATTTATTAATAATAAATGTTTTTATATTTATATACATTATTCATTGATTAATATTAATTCTCTATATAAAAAATATTATTTCAAGATTATATTAGAGTAATGAGGTTATTATTTTTCGGATTGCAAGCATTTTAAAAATAACACGGAAGTGATAGTGTAAAGCTATTTTTAGAGTTTGTATTGCTTTTACGAGAAGTAAGTTTTGTATTGCTTTTTAAGAAAACGAGAATGCGCAAATTGTTCCAGCAAACCGACAATTCTGCCAACAGCATAATGGAACCGTTGCGATACATGAGTAGGCTGTTAGTCTGGTTTTTGCTGCGATTGATGTGGCTGGCGACTCAATTCGTAAACTTGCCCGGTATCCACGGCAAGGTCCACTCCGACGAGGACGCGCCTGACCCGCCACCACCACCGGAACCATATCTCTATTACTACCCCTGCGATCAGAAACGAACGCTCTATATGCTGAACGAGACCGTCGCCACCAAAGGCATCACCAATCACTCCGATTACTGCTCAAGGCCGTTCTACGCTCAGAAAGTAAATATTCATTTATGCAAATTGGCTTTAATTGATATTGACTATACATATAATTTCACTGATCTAATCGTGATAGAAAGAGTAAGGTGAAATATAATATCTCCACTTGTGGTTATAAATATCTCGCCGAGTTTCTAATACCTTTTTACAAAACTGATCATATCGTTAGTAAAAAAAGAATGCAACTTTAAGCAGTTTTAATAATAAAAAAATATGAAGAGATTAAATGCCTATTGGCATTTAATGACTCATATTTCGAATCCTGAAACAAAAAGATTATCTTTACAAAAATATAGATTAGTAAGAAAAGAAAATTTTATACTTTTAAAAGCAGAAATTATTGAGTGAACTAGCATATTTCATCGACAAACCACTATAGTATCGTGCAGATCAAGTAGGATTATTACATAGGAATAATTAAAAATTAATATGCATTGTTATGCATTGGATAGAAAAAATGATAGTAGTTGCGTTTGCATACATTATACATATATTTAAATCGATATCTGTCATTAGCATAATAATTATATATATGACGTAATGTCGGTAGAGAAACTGATTGACAAGTCTCTGTCGAATATTAGCTTTAGAAAGAAAATTGAAATAGATTTATGAGAGATGTTTCTCGATTGATTTGTAATGTCGACGATCCTTATTTTTACTTTCTTACATCTTTTGCTTTTCAACTGATAGACATAATGTATGTTCCGTCTATTCTACTCGATTGCTTAACCGATCATTGAGTGTTTTTTTGTGTTTGAATGTTATGCAAATATTTTTTCCTTAAAAGAATCAATTTGCAAATCGTTTTGTCAATAAGATATTTAACATAAATCACCGACTTTTAGTGTCTGGCAAGATTTAGTGTATCTTTCAATTGAGATATTCTCATAGTACGCCGACCTTCTCAAGAAGTGACCTTCTTTATGTGCCAATTTTCTCTCTCTCTCTCTTTTTCTCTCTCTCTCTCTCTTTAGTGTATTAATATACAACCAAAGTATTGTATATTAATACAAGCGAAATAAATATTTTGTCAATATTTTTCAATAACTAATTTCGGTAGAGATTTCTCTGAAAACTGAATCTTATTAACATATATTTTGCAATATTTTGGAAAAAGAATTAAAAGTTGCATTCTAAAATATGGCAATTGGATTTTGAAAGAATAATTGCCACTTATGTACAGGTGACGCATACGAATCTCCTGTTGGTAGTGGTGAACAGCATGTATTCAACGTGCTACGAAAGACTGGAAGTAACCCCTGTCAACATCTCACCCTTAGAGTACACAAATAGCACGGCCGACAAACCTTGTCACAAAATTCCGCTGAACGCTTTGAAGAGGCGCAGGTTGAAAAATTGCTTTACGGAACATCCTCTGGAACTTGAAATCGATTGCGGAGGAGCCTCTGAATTGACAATGTCCCTGTTGTTGTTATGGATTACCATTGTTAAGATTCTGTATGCTTTTGTATGACGATAAAACTCAGTCTTATACATATACTTACATATATATATACATATATATATATATATATTCTCATAAATAAAGATTTTAAATTACTTAAATTACTAATAAATACAAAATTCTAATAAATAAAAATTTTTAATTACTTGAAATGAATCTATAACAGTGTATCTTTTAACCGGCATAGCTTTAGCTGTAATAAATTATTCTCTATGACATTGTTATATGTAAAAAAACAATTTTTTTAAACTTTAATAGTATAAATTAATTGTTATAATTTCTGTTGTTCTTTTCTGCTACAGATTTCTTATATTTATGGAAATATTATAATCTGGCTTGTATATCTCTATTAGAAAAGTTGAAAAGTTAAAAATATTCAAATGAGCATCATACATTATCAATAACACTTATTAAAAATGTAATATATAGGAGATGGTACAATATGCTTCAAGCACATATTTACATCAAGTCGATTTTGTTTAATTAATGTATGGTTTAAGGCAAATTGGCAGCACGTGTGACAGTAATAAGTACTATTACCAACTTCTTTCCCGACAACTGAGCGCACAATCGAAGGACCAACGATTCTATCTGACCTGACAGTCGGTGTGGTCGGCGCGTCGTTCGGTTCATGTCGTGCGCAAGCCTAGTCGAAAAATCGATAAGCTCGAAAGGCGCATAAGCCCCGAATGAGTCGCCACAGAGTTAGTGAGCGCGTACCGTACACGACGATACCAACAACGACGTCTACAAGAACGATTGACGTGAGCATTATTGATGTGAGACACGAGCCTCAGTTTTGTTTACCGTCTCCTTGCGCGAACACAATCCCTTATCCCTCCATCCGAGGAGCGGATCAACAAGGTGGCTAAAAGAGGTGGTCAGGGAAAGTTATGAGGCCCTGCTTCATACCTATCGTCGTCGTCCTGATCCTGATCGAGGCACCCGATCGTAGCGACAGTATCTCCTTTAAAACGTACGTACCTCGTGGTCTGTTCATTTCCTGTAGTAATATCCTTACAGCTTGACAACAACAACACGATTCGCCTGATCGTTCCGTCGTATTCATATATACACGATAATGAGATGATGAAAGATATTTAGGTGAACCGTGAAGGACTGTGTCTCTTGATGAAACTGTCATGTGTGTTGACGGCACGTTTCATAGAAGACGAACTTTCGGGAATAAAGGAAAATTTTACGGTCGTTTATCATTGAAGATACTTGTTTTATTACAAAAATTTTAACAATCGTGTTTATTGCGTTCACGCAATTTAAATATAGTTAATTACTGTATGTTTTCAAAGGACCCCGCACGTTTCCTATGGAAAAATGACCCCGGTCAAATTGCTCCGTTCTGAAATATGTTGTAGTTTTTATAATTCTGAACAAATTTTTCCTGTGTCACAACCACGTAAAATCAAAGGGTAGAGAAATATGGAGCTATGAAGTCATAGAATCTGAATGTATGCCATATCTCTTTCAGATAACCTGATGCCTTTTTTTAATGGGTATATATGCACGTGTATTCGTAAATGTTGTATGCGTATGCGTGCGAGCGTGTGTGCGTGCGATCGTGTGTGTGTGTGCGCGCGCGCGTGCGTACGTGTGTATACAGGGTGTCTGGTAAAGATTGTGCCAACGCTCGTGAGCGGGTAGAGCATAGTAATCTGAAATGTGACAGTCGCATTCGACTGGTTCGACAACAAACCGATATATACAAGTCGCCATGTCGCTATATGTATATGTATATACCAGAAGATATATCTAACAGATATTCATATATACAGGGTGTCCGGTAAAGATTGTGCCAACGCTCGTGAGCGGGTAGAGCACAGTAAACTGAACATAAAAGTCCTGTAACATTTTTTTATATAACGCGTAATAAAGGAATTATTATTGAGTAAAATCTGGCCAATCAGCGCCAACCTTTAGCCGAGCGCACGTCAGTGAGCTCCGCGCTGTGAAGTGTGCGCCGCATACTATCAGGCGGGCGGCTCACCGACGTGCGACCGGCTAAAAATCGGCGCTAATTGACCAGATTTTACTCAATAATAACTCCTTTATTAAGCGTTATATAAAAAAAACGTTACAGGACTTTTCTGTTCAGTTTACTGTGCTCTAGCCGCTCACGAGCGTTGGCACAATCTTTACCGGACATCTTGTATATAAAGTGTTTCATGAATACACTCGCACTCATAAAACTACTAACCTAATCTAATCCCAAACGAACAAATATTCATATATACACATACACACACACACACATACGCGCGTGCGCGTGCGCGCACACGCACACACGCTCGAACGCGCGCACGCACACATACACACATGATCGCACGCATGCACACTCGCACGCACACACGCTCGCACGCACACGCACACAACATTCACGAATACACGTGCATATATACCCATTACACATAAAAAGAATCATCAGATTATCTGAAAGAGATATGGCAGACACTCAGATTCTATGACTTCAAAGCTTCATATTTCTCTATCCTTTGATTTTACGTGGTTGTGACACAGGAAAAATTTGTTCAGAATTATAAAAACTACAACATATTTCAGAACGGAGCAATTTGACCGGGATCACTTTTCCATAGGAAACGTGCGGAATCCTTTACGATATTTTTTTTAGAGAAGTTTAATTTTCTTTTTTTTAAGAAGGCAAATTCTTTGATTTACTCATATATGTGTGAAAAAAAGTTATGGCTCACATATGTATATTCGTCATTTCTTTTCGAGAGATGGATTTCTTTCACGAATGAGATCACCATTGTTTTATCAGATTGTTATCATGTTCAGATTATTAGTCACACAATGTTATTGTTGCCTACAAACTGCTTTTTGATAACATTTTATTTATTGTATGAAGAAAGAAACTGATGATGAAGCAAGAAATATATAATGATGATATAGTAAACATAATTTTCCATATATAAATATTTGTCCGAATGATGCGCCTGGACTATATAGCAAAATAGCATTGTGCACTGTCAAAAATATAAGACGAGAGAATGTAATAATATAAAATAGTGCACATAAATTTTTTAATTACAAACAAAATGGTAATAAAATAAAAATTTATTCCAGAATACTTTTTAATTAAAATTATATATAATAATTA